TAGTGCCGCATCAAGGAAGCTCGGGACAGAGTCAGGCATGGCGGTTGAGTGGGCAGCGGCATAGCTGCATGGTGTTGACCTTGAAGTGGGGCAGCGACATAGCTGCTTTGGTTTGTCCTCTAGACAGGAGGCTGAAGCCTCAGTAGTGTGCCATAGCCTCAGCCTGTATGTAGAGGGAGAAGAAGGGGGGCCATGGCTATGGTGGACCTCATGTTGTGCCTGCAGTAGAAGTGGGATTCGGACATTGATTCTGGTTCAGTCATTCAACATTATTATTGTTATTTCCTGTTTGAATAAGAGGGGAGGAGATAAGGAGGAAGAGATTGGTTGGGGAAGAAGAAGAGCCTTGTCATTGGTCTATGCTGGAGTACATCATCTTCTTCTTCTTTCTTACTTCTTCTTCTTCTTCTTGCCCTCTCTCTCCTCTCAAGTTCATTCATTTCTTTTTGCAATTGGATGGCATTGTACTTTCAGATGACTGTATACTTCGAAATTGGCCAGTATCGTAACATTGGTATCAGAGCGGATTCTACTTGCTGGCGAGAGTTGACTTTGCTGCCACAACCCTAACCCTAGTGGTAAGGGCTAACCACTTAGGGTTAGGGCTGGAAGTTAGGGTTAAGTGGGGCAGCGTGGTAAAGGGAAGCTGCTCCCATCTGGCAGGGCCGTGTAGGGTCGACACTAAACCCGGCCAGGTTGCTTGAGTGCATGTTTGTGGTGGCGAGACACAAGGTGGGACTTCGTGATGCGATTTGAGAGAGGCAACAGTGAAGGCCACCTACAACTTGAATCTGGACTTCAAGGAAGACGAGGAGTGACTTTAGGGCTCCCCTCAAGTCAGGCAAGCTTGAGGGTGGCAGCCATATCTGCACCTACGGACTGCAAGTTGCTGCTTTGATCTTCAACATCGACGGGGGATCCGGCTTTGTACTTCGGGGTAGATGTTGACCCTCCTAGACGATAGGACACTAGTGTAGAGGATGCTAATTGGGTCAGGAGGACTATGTGAGAGGGGGGTGAGTTCTTTTCATCTCAAGAGCCCGGCCACTCAGGTAAGTGTCGTGCCGCCAGGGTGCCCATCTGTGTGTGCATGGAATCGACTGCCTGTTGGGGGATTCTAGGTACTTCTTCCATCCTCCATAGTCTTGATCTTGCGTGAAGTGCGTGAACTGACTGCCTGTTGGGGTATTCTGGGTACTTCTTCCATCCTCCATAGTATTGATCTTGCGTGAAGTGTGTGAACTGGTTACTCGCCTGATGAGTGAATGGATGGAGTGTCTTGTGTGCCATGCTATATGTTTCTACAGTGCTTTTTATCTATTTCATTCTGAACGGTTGTAGTCTGTAGGTTCTTTCTGGGGCAAAATTCCGTTTTTCAATTTGGTAGGGACAGAGTAGGTCTTCGTGGAACTCTTGTTGGTTGGGACCCGGTTCTGATTCCACTGGGACTGTTTGGGACTCAGTGGGACCAGGCCCAAACAAGAAGGACCCCTCAAGCCAAATCTGTTGACGTCAGTTACCTTGCTCTATCTGATTGGGACTCGGACTTTATGCTTTCGGACCAGGACACTCGCTGCGGAGGGGATCTCCACTGAGACGTTTTATCGGACTTTACCGCACGATCCGCCGTCTGACTCGCACCTTGGGCACCGCTCAATTCTCTCTTGCATTACGCTGTACACTTTGAATCTGATTTGTTGTGTTTTCACGGAGCTGAGCCCGGCTAGGCTTGAGAGGATCTCATACGTAGTCGGTCCAGACTGTGTGGCTGGAC